TATAAATTTTAGATCATTATAAATCTGGTTTTCTGTCGTCTGGTTTTGTGTTTTCTGTCCTTACATTTTCCAGTCCCAAGTCCTTGTTTCTTCTGTCTTAGCTTACTGGGACAAGATGTATGGAAAGTACATGTTGCTTAACTTCCTCATGCCTCAGCTTCATCCTGTGTGGAACCGGGATGTCACACAAACAGGTGAGGTACCAACTTAGGGTGTGTGACTCACAGCTGATGCTACTGCTTTCCTTATTGTATGGTTTTAAAGTCCTACTTGTGGGAGCCAGAGCGATTTCTCTCGGTGGTCACAGCACACTGGCTGCTCTTCCAGAGGACCAGGTTTGACTCCCGGCACCCACAAGGCAGCTCACAACTGTCTGTGACTCCAGTTCCAGTGGAACTTGATGCTCTCTTCCGGCATCTATGGGCACTGCACAGACACACGTGCAGGCAAAACACCCACGCATAAAAATAAATCTTTATTTTTAAATCCTACTTGTGGTAACCTAAAGGTTTAGATTATGTTTTCGACTACATTTGCAATGTGTCATCCTATAGACAAGCTTTCTTCACGTCAAAGCCACTGTCATGGCCCCTCTGTTCCCTGCTGCTCCTGCCTCAGAGCAGGAGTATAGGTTGGTCCCTCCTCCTTCTCCTCCTCTTCTACAGTTCTGGGGATCAACTGAGGGCCTCGTGCATGCCAGGCAAGTGTTTTCCCTGAGCTGTAACCCTAACCCCAGAATGGCCTGGTTCTCTCTGACTCTGCAGGTCAGATCTCTAGAAACAAACTCTTCATTAGAATATCTGTAAGAAAGAAATAAAATTTACACAGTCAAGATCAAACACCTGCTAACAGGCCAGAGACAGTCTGCATATAGACTGAAGCCTCAGAGCAGAAGAATCCAAAATTGTCCAGCCATTCAAGATGATGGGAGGGTTTACTTGCAAAGCAAGATGCAGCCCATGTTTGTCAGTGCCATGGAGGCCTTTCTGCTTCTTCCAAGGAGACAAACACACACGTGTGGGCAGCCAGAGCGCGGCTCAGGGTGTACAGGGAAAGCCGACTTCCCCAGCCTGCTGCACTGGGACCAGGGGCCTCCACTGTTCCCTTTCTACCGCTGCTTGGCATTTGACAGTGTTTAATGAGGAGGTTCCTGGGGTGGCCCTGGGAGGCCTGTGGGAGGTGGGCATGCAGCCAAGAGAATCCTGGAGAATGCTGAGTGCTGCCACTGTCAGGGCTCAAAGGCAGTGATGTCATGCATCTCTGGGGTCCCTGGAAAACAAGCTCATGTTGCCAGTGCCCTCCTGGCAACCAGGTGTTGCTCTCCCAACACAGGGCTCCTCTGTACCATTATTAACTCCTGTCTGTCCTTGGCAGGAGATGTAAAAACATTTATTGTCCCATAAAAACCAACCCCAGATAGGAGAAATGATTTCAAAAATGCATCTTGCTGAAGAGGGATTTCCATAGCAACTTCAAAAGCGTGCGCATACAGCTAGAATCGAGTGTAGCTGACAGAAGCCACCTGGACCCTATGCAGAGCCTGGCCTGGGTGGCAGCGGTCAGAGCAGGTTCTAGAACCCATCATGGTGTTTAATGCCCGTGGAAAGTCATTTACCTTCTCTAACTGCAAAGGTGACAGAGTCACCACCAGGTCAAGCTGAGAGAGAACAAGGTCATCTTTGCCGAATTCCTCTCCTACCCTGGTCCAGCTCTCCAGTACCCCAGTGCAGCCCCTGTCTCAGTGTCTCAGCCAGTCATGCTTGGGATTCGACCTTGGGAAGCACAGGGTTACCCACAGCTCTGAAAAAAACTAGCCGGCCATTGTAAGAGAGTTTTGTCTGATTACTTGGTCTGTGTGTGCTTTCATGGCCCTATAGGTCAGATTCTGGGCAAGAGCCAAAGACCATGAGATTTGGGGACAGAAAGTTGGGGATGGGGCTGCTCTCTGGATCAACACAGAAAGCGTGGTACAGACTAGGTGTGGTGCAATGGTAACAGAAACCTCAGGGACCTCTAGATGGCCCTAGAGAGTTAGACTCCAGGAGGCAAAAGGCTCTTCAAACTCCCTGTCAGTCGGTGGGTTCCTGCCACCTCTGGGTAAGGGATGTGACCCTGAATCAGGCAGCTCTCCCGAGAGGCGCCACAATCCCAGGTGAAGGCAATGAGTGCCCCAATCAACATAGGGTGGAGCAGGTGCACGCTAATACCCATTGCACACACACATGCACATCCACAGTTGCACAGACATCGTACATGCATGTGTACACATGTATACACACACATGAAGACATCATTGAACGTGAAGTCAACCCTGGACGCAGCATGGCAGAGGTATCACGGACACAGAGGAGACCAGACAGCAAGTCTGGCACTTTTGTGTCACCACGGTGGCCTTCAGACCTCAGACTGGGGACATGGCTAGCACAGTCTGGGGCACAATGTCCCGTCCTTGTGGGATCCGCTGGGGTTGACAAGATAAATGTGAAGTTTAGGGTAGAAATTAGCCTTGCATTCTGGCTGCGCACTTGGGAGCCCTGTGACTGCAAACCAGTTACTTCCCAGCAGCCAACTCCAGCGTGAGGACAGTCAGGGTTCCTTGCGTCTGCTGTTAGGTTAATCAGGAACGGCATGGAGTGTGAACTATAGAGCCAGCAGCGTGAGAAGCAGGAGCCGGGGCACTGTCCCTGAGCTCAGCACTAACCCATCCCGAAGCCTGTGTCCTTAGAGGCCAGGCTATGGGAGGGTCTGGCTGGCTCTGCTTCCTGATCTGCAGCTGGGCCTCTTGAGCCATGTCTGCATAGAAAGCAGCTGGGGATTCTGTAGCAGCACAGGCTAGCCTAGCTTAACAAGAGCTAATCTTGTTTAACCTGGGCTAACCCAGGCTAACCCAGCCTCATATATCTTGATGCAAGCTAACCTGGTCTAACCAGACTAACCCAATCTGGACCTGGAAGCTTTGGAGGGTATTAAACATCAACTGTGATGCAAAGACTTCTGAAAACGAGGGTGTCCACAATGTGATTATTCTCCAGAAACAAATAAATAACTTGTTAAACTTGTGACAGTTTCAATAAACAAAGTGGTTGTATGTTCAGGCTGTCTGTTCAACTGAAATACATGCTAGACAAGGGACAAACATGGAAAACCTCGAGTGTCCCAAAAGGCTATACAGATTCAGTTACCACTGTTGGAAATCTTGGCTTCTGATGATTAGGAAGGAAAACAGGGTAAGTATCAGCGGGGATTTGGTACGAGTCTGTCTATTCTGGTTATAAAAAAAGGTAACCACAAAGTTCCTGAGTTACTTGGGGATTCTACAATGCATGTCATTAATTGATTGCCATTGCATGGCAAGATACAGTTCGCAAGGGTCGCCTTGCTGGACTCGAACAATAAATCCTATAAAGGAGTCTCATTAACCTTCATTCCTTATTGAAGCCCAGGGAGGCGGAGTGGCTGGTACTCCTCAGCAGAGAGTCTCATAAGGCAGCCAGCATGGTGTCACACACCTGTCATCCCAGCGTGAGGAAGCAGGAGGAGGGGATGTGGAAACAGTACAGAGGGATCCCAAGTTCAAGGCCAGTCTGGACCACCCTGTCTCAAATAAACAGTCAACAGTCCCATGAGGAGTTTCTTTCTCTGGTGTAGGGAACATATTTGCCAGAGAACGTTCCCGAGGAACTGTTTAGTGTGGATCCCTTCTTGGAGAAGAGTTCGGCTGCTGAGCTGTGGTAGGGCTCTAGACAGTCAGCTGGTGTGGTTTGGGGCTCTCTGTCAGAGGCCCCCAATACTGATAGTCACAGCTTGGTCCTCATTCTAAGGACTGTGTTCTGGGCAGCACAGTGCTTCTGTCTGGAATCTGAAAGTCACAGAGAACACCCCAAAGCCAGTTGGAAACTTAGTGGCTCCTGTGTGAGATCTATTCTAGCCATCTCTCCACAGGATTCTATCTGCTCGGATCCGGGCACACGGAAGATCTGACAGACAAACTGGATTCTGCCTTGTTTTATATCTGCTCGGATCCGGGCACACGGAAGGTCTGACAGACAAACTGGAAGCACTGATGTGTTAGGGGCAGCTACCGGGGTCTGTGTAAGCCACACAGATTTTCTCTGGGCCTCCCACACAGAGAAGCTCTCTACCCCTGGAGCATGGCTTTATCTATTTCATTTCAAGTGACTCTTACTTTAAAATGAGGAAACTTCAGCTTCTCGGGCAGACTCCAGAGGCCTTGCCTCGATTTGGACTCTCCATGTGAAATAAGATTAGAATGAACTATGGTGTCAACTTGAAAAAGGCAGGTGTCACCAACTGGGCCTGAGGAGTGGAGGAGGGCGACAGAGGTCCTATTGGTCCTAGTGGGGAGCCACAAGGGTGGCTCTTCTGAGAACTGGTTGGTCATTACAGAGCCCGTGATCTCAGGCCACAGGTCCTTGGTGCCCCTCATTGGTTTTCTGAATCACCGGATCCCTATAATCTTTGCCAAATCTATTTCACTGAAACATGGTTCTCCAGCTCTAAAGTCCACATGAATCATGATGAGAGGCTCTAGAACATCATTGCTGAGTCAATAACTCTGGGGCGAAGGCCCTGGATTCTAACAAGTCCCCCAATGATGCTGATACTGAAGCAAAATGAACAGGCTTCATTACTGCAGGACTTATGGGAGCACTTTAAACAACAGCAACAATGTTCATCTCCAAGGGGAGAGCAGACAGAAACCTGTAGATTGATAAATACAGAATAGGGGCTAAGACACAACCAGAAGGCTATAACACACTGCTCTAAAGAAGGAACAGAAGTTAGTTCTGTGTATTTTTCCAGCTTACCTGGGCTTCAATGTTCAACATTCTAGACCAGCTCTACCTTCTTCTCATTCCCATTTTCTTTCTCCTTTGAGGGGTCTGAGAACATTCCCACCTCCTCCATCAGACCTTAGACCTGAGTCTCCCTGTTCCGCCTCCCTTCCCCGTACCATGTTCAGAGACTCCCTGGAATACCTTTCGCAGACGCGTACGGTCCAGGCGGCGATGATCCACAGAGAGATGCTGAACACCAGCAGCACCGTGCCGGGGCAGATGGTCATGAGCGTCTTCATGACGAACCTGGTGTTGAAGTTGATCTTGTTGAGGGCCCCAATGCTGCGGGAGGAGGCGTCGGTGAAGAGCTTGCTGTGCAGCAGCATGACCCGGGCGATCAGGTACAGGCGCAGGAACATGGGGATGGACAGGATGATGTCCACGTCTGCCTCCGCCCGAGAAGGGGTATAGGAGAAGGCCAGGCGTGCGGTCCAGAAGAATTTGTACTCTCCAGGAATGGGGTGGATGGCACACACCAGCATCTCCAGGCTGATGTAGAGGATGCGCTCGTAGGTCATGGCTATCCGCCAGTCATCTGCACCGTTGTCGATCACAAAGAGCTGGGGGAGCAGAGAGTGTGTTAGTGTGGCCAGGACAGGTGAGCAGGAACATCACAGAAGAGGCTAACGGGGTTCTATTGTCCTGACCTCAGGGGCAGGCTGGAATTCTACCTGTGGTGAGAGCCCTAGTCAAGAGTCGGGACCTGTGTGGCCAGCTGAAGGTCCTGGCTAAGATGCCCACTCTCTGAGCCTTGCATTCCTCCTCTACAAGTTGCTTCCTAGGATACTGGCATGCCTGTCTGTCTGAAACGAGGTCTCACCCTGTAGTCAGCTAGCCTTAAACTCATGGAAATCCTCCTGCCTCAATTTTTCTATTGCTGGGATTACAAGAATAAGTCAGCATGACAAGCTAGATATTGTGATTTATAATCAAAAGAATATATTTGGTCTTCGCCTTGGCTGAGGCACGCAGTTAATAAAACCCCAGGAGAGGACTGGAGTTTGGCAGAGTATGCACAAGATGCTGGATTTGATCCCCAGCAACACATACACACACACACTACCCATGCACGCACACACATATGTACACACCATACATACACATCCCATATCACACACACACAGTGAGCTTTAAATGACTGGGGAGAGTGTTTTGTTTTGTTTTGAGACAGGGTTTTACTATTAGCTCTGACAGTCCTGAGTTTTGTTCTGTGGACTAGGCTGGCCTTGAACTCACAGAGATCTACTTGCTTCTGCCTCCTGAATGCTGGGATTAAAGGTGTTCATACCTGGCTATTATTACTTAGTTTAAGCCCAGGGCTTCACACAAGCCAGGCAAGTTTTTGCCACTGAGCCACATAGCCAGTACAGTAAAAATCTCCTAAATGTTCATGTTGTGATTGCTTGGGATGCGCTGGCCATCCACGGGGTAGGAACTAGGAAGAAAATGGCTATCAGTCTCACCCTGCCCAGGTGGCATCAGTGGCAAAACATTCCATCAAGTGTGCCACATAGTGAGCCTCTGCAGAACCTAAGGACAAGGTCTGAATAGCCGAGCATGTGGAGGCACCTGCAAGGCCGCAAACCCACAGAAACCCCAGGAGCTCTGTGTCCTTCCCACACTCCTGCCCCGGGAGTCCATTCCTGCTTGCTGCTAACAGGATTCTCTGAAGCATCCTGAAAAACTGTGCAAATGTCTCCCTGACTCCAGCAGATGACTCAAACCCAAGGCCCAGGTCAGACAGCCCCATGTGGACTTTGGGAGTGGAACCAGAGCTGAGGGACCAGGCCAGCAGCCAATTGATATGGGATTCCCCTCTGTATGCTGTGAATATGTTTTATTACCATTGGTTAATAAAGAATCTGCTTTGGGCCTATGGCAGCACAGAATAGAGCAAGGTGGGAATTCCAAGCAGAGATAGAGGAGAAAAGAAGGCGGAATCAGAGAGACGCCATGTAGCTGCCTAAGGAGGCAGATACCCCAGAACCTTACCAGTAAACCATGAGCTTGTGATAAAATAATAGAAATGGGTTAATTTAAGATGTAAGAGTTAGTTAATAAGAAGCCTAAGCTAATAGGCCAAGCAGTGTTTTAATTAATATAGCTTCTGTGTGATTATTTCGGATCTGAGCAGCCAGGAAACGAATGAGTGGCTTCCATCTACTGCCAGCGGCATCTAATGCTAACTTCAAGCGGAATGTTAGAGCTGGGTTAACTGCCGAGTGTCCCTCTGGGATTCATGTCTGGTGTGGGGACAAAATTCCCACAGGGAGGAGGAAGGCCTTGGGTCTGTCTCTTTCTGCTATACACTGCCACACTCCTTCCAGCATGAAGGATCCAGCCTCTATGTCTTATTTTGTGCTAAGGGGGATTAAAAGTACTTTTGTGTTTAAAGGGGAAACAAAACCAGAAACCCCACATCTGAGTTTCAGCAAGTGTGGAGTGTTGGAGAGGAGTGTTTCCTGTATTACTGAGCTCACGGAGTGACCGGGTTTTTGGTTCCAACTCAGAAGAGGCGGCAAGTGTCTGCCATCCACACTGCACTTGAGCAATGCATGGAGCATCCATTGCCTGGCTCCTGAGCCTAGGACTAAGCAGTTTGGTAACCTTGGGTGAGTTCCTGAACCCCACTGCCCCTCTGTACTCTTGTCTGGGAGTGTGACATCCGCTGCAAGCAAGTCAGAGGAAGCTACAGTGGGTATATTGCATGTGTCATGTACAATAGTATGTCCCGTGTGCAATACACCCTGCCTAACCCCAACCACACTATTAGCTACTATGAGCAAAGTGGTAACTATTAGCGATTGTTAATATTAGCTATGACTGTTACTTTTAGCCTTATAAAGGGTAGCATCGTGGTCTTCCCATAAAGTGAGGACTGGACTTGACTCTGTCTCCATTCCTTTCCAGTACCAACCTTCTTCAAAGCTTTGAACCCTGGGGCCCAGTCATGAGAACCCACTGCAGCAGGCATTCCTGAGATACCTGCCACCTACCTTGCCCATTCTCCATTGAGATTATGTGGGGAAGGCCCAGCCTTTGACCCCAAGGAAGCCCCACTATGGGGTCCCACTGTGTTTGATGACTGCTCAGATAATTGTACTTCTGTCTTTCAGCAAGTTCAGTCATCTCTGAACAGAGGAGCCTTGATGGTCCCGAGCAATTGGGGCCTGCCTAAGGCTGAGGCTATAGCCAGGACATTGGAGGTGCTCATCACACCCCTGTACCTCCCTGGATGCCACCTGCTGCCGCACCCCCCATATATCCTTTCCAGAAGCCTGGGGAGCTGTTGCCTTCCAGTGACTTCTGCTGGCCTTTAAAGAAGAGCCAGGGTGAAGGTCCTGCACTCTGGTGTACAGGGCACTCTGGGGCAGGCAGCCTCAGAGGGCAGGCATCCCCATCTGTACATCCTGAAAGGAGAATGACCCGAGTCCTGTCTTGGATGACCAGTTCTGAAAGGCTGGGAGCAAAAGAAGCTGAAGCTGCAGCAGGAACAGGGGAAAGATGAGTTTAACCGAAATCCAGCATCCACAAAGGAGAAAAGATGGCTGGCCAAAGGGTAGAAAAACTAAGCTCCCTTCCCTGTCCACTCTCGCCTGCAGGAGACTGCCTCTACCTCCCCCAAGGTCTGGGCCCCACCCATAGGCCTTCACCCTTCTCCACTGCCTTCCTATGAGTTGTTTCATCACAAGAGGAAGAGAAGACTCAGCGCTGCCTGGGCCTGAGGGCTCCAAGAATTAGGCTGAGAGTCAAATAGTCTCTGGTACCCCAGATACAAATAGAAGGCAAACAGGTGAGTCACATTCTGTCGATAGTGGGGTGGAGAGGGAGTGTTTCTTGCTTTTAGTGTCTGCCTGTGACATTTGTGTGCTACAGTATCAAGTTCTGAACACGCTATCAGGCCACTGAGAGGCCAGAGAGGTGGCTGTGGAGGGGGCCAGACTCCAACATCACCTAGCTTCAGCTTCTCCCTTTCCTGTCCTGTGACCATACAGGGCCATAATGCATGTGTGGCTGTCAGTTGGGAGGGAATGGAGCAAAGCAGCCAAGCAAGGCCACCATGAGCACACCTGGCTGAGAGGCCTCCCATCAAGAGTCATCTGGGAACAGGGAAAGATTCCAGCCCAGCACCAGGGGAGCCTCCCTGTCTCTCGCTCTCAATGCAGTGCAGCCTGGATTTTCCCAGACCCAGATCCATCAATTAGAACGACAGATCTATGGCCATTCCAAGGCCTCCTAACTGTGGTCCGACAGCCCGAGTCATGGCAACATGACTATCTGGCCAAACTCTTTTAATACAAAATTAAAGCCTTCCATCCAGTAATAAGGAAGCACATTCGGTTGCTATAGTAACTGGGTTCACGCAGTAGGAACTGAAGCAATGAGTAACAGATTCCTTTGATTGCTTGGTGGGCACTGAGCTGGTGCATCATCTAAACTGAAGGATGGGTCTCCATGGTCTCCCCAGCTCAACAGGAGAGAGCTGGACTGGGGCAGTGCCCCACCGGCGCTCAGATGCCCCATGTACTTCAGTTTCCTGATGAAAGGAAGATGGCAGTACTGGGTAGTCAAAGCCAGAGGCTGGTGCGCTGGATGGAAGCTTCCCACGACCAGGTATTAGACTCTTTCAGTCGGTTTGACTGTCTCCGTTACGGGACAATTCACCTGTTCCTCCGCACTCTGCTGACTATTCCCTAAGTAGGTGGATCACAGAGCTGGCTGCTGGGGCATTTTCAAGCCGTGTGCACTTGGGGGAGGCTGTTTGGAGTAGAGGAACAAGAACCTATTTCAGGCTACCGGCTGAGAGCACCTGCTAGACAGGCCCCGTGGCAAGGTTTGGTGGCTCTGCAGAGCCCGGCGTCTCCCAGCACATCATGGCTCTCCCACACAGGACAGCCTATGCCTTGTGCTTTCTGTCCCTGGAATCACAGCGCTGCAGTGTGATCTCACTTCCTGCAGATGCACCCTGCAGCTTCTCAGCCTCCTGCTCATTCCCTGCCAATCACAAGTTTCAGTTATTTCTTGGTCTTTACTGCATTTCTGTCTGCCTTGTCACTTAGCCCAGTGGCTGTCAATGTGGCTGCACACCAGAGTCCACTTGGAGGCCTGGTAAAATTCCCTTTGCCTTTCACAACAGGAGACAAAGGAAAGGAAGGCATTTCCCTGCCAAGGTCCATCCTTAGACCAAGACAGGCTTTATGGACGGGGAGGGTTGGGCTGATGTCTTTGTGGGGTGGAGTGGGATTGTTCTTACTTTAGATTCTGATAACAGGTCTGTTATGTAGCCCAGGCTACCCCTGAACTTACTATATTTCTGCCTTAACCTCCTGGGTACTGGGATTGTTCTCCGCAGGTGATACTTAAGTGTACCGAGGGCTGGGACCCAGTGATTACAACTGGAACTCCCTTGACCCCTACTATTGCCAATGCCTAACCTCGATTTTAACATGTAGTAGATATTTGTTAATGCTGCCACTTGAGTGACTTTGGGCAGCTAATCGTCCCTCTCTTGGGCTGTTTCCTCTTCTGAGGATGAAGAATTTCATGACGGTCCCCAGAG